GCTAGCAGGCGAGGGCAATATAAATACTTCAGGGAGTCTGTAGGGCAAAGGAACGAGGCAGGCAGTCCACATGGATGCTTTGTAGCCAGCAGGACATCTTCGGGAACTCTCACTCAACTCGAGTTTTAAAATGTAAGCACAAGAAACCATTATTTAATTTTCTTTCCAATTTCCTGTCTATAGCCTTATCAGAAAATTGCCTAATTATTTATTAAGCACATTTTTTCAATTGTGATTTCAGTGAAGATTTATAGAGCAAATTGGTTTTCCATTCAACAATTCATACACATTTCGTTTCATGACACGGATTAATTGAAATACCCGCACATAGTGTTACAGTACTCTTCCCACCTCCTTCCTGTGTTTTCATCATCCTTTCCTATCCATTCCTGCCTTCCGAGGTTGGTCCTAGGACACACATCTGAGAGCAAATGCTGCCCTTTTGCTTCATATAGTTGATTGCTCTGTTATAAGGAGGAGTGCCTCCCTGGTGGTAGCGTTCACCCTATAGGACGATATATCTACTGTTTAGCTGTACACTGAGCAAAGGTGCTCAGTTCAGTTCCAATCCTGAAGAGTGACCAGGGACCATAGTTTCATGGGTCTGCCTATCTTTAGCAGACCAGTAAACCTGGATTTTTTATTCAAGTTTTGTTCCACATTTTGTCCCCCAGGTATCCAGTATTACTGCTTGTTCTAGTTCATACCCTGGAGCAGCCATGCCAATTCTCTAACTCCACATTAGAGAGGGAAAAGAGAAGTTTCTTTTTAGAAGCCGACACCAACTCCCTCAAACATTACAGCTTTTTCTATGTATATTTTTCCCTTTGAGTGCTTCCATGGGCACTCTGAATGAATGTCTTCCCAGCAGCAGCTGTGAGAGAAGTAGAGGAAAAGGAAGAAGGTCTGGAAGGCTTCCTGAAGTCCACTGATTTTTGAAAGTCAGCTTAGAATAAGCAGTAGACCCGAATGAAGGCCGAACATAACACTGGGTCAAGAGAAAAGGAACGGAAATAGAGGAAAGAGGTGATTTCCCTGACCTAACTCTTGGGTCTCAGAACCCGCCGAGGGGGGGCAGTGTCAAGATGCCCCCGTCCTTTACTGCTCTCCCTTCCCTCCTGGGAATTCTTTCCTTCCCTCAATAAAATCTTTCTCGAGCAACAAGTGATCCAAAATCAGTGGCAAGGAGGGTGTGAGAGGCCTGGTAGGGATTCAGCAAGGGCAATGTAACAGAGAAATTACTGAAACTCAAATGAAGGCTGAGCATGATAGTGGGACAAGAAGAAAGTAAAAGGAAACAGAGGAAAGAACTAGGTGACAAAGGGTAATTTACAGAGGTCTAAAGACTGGAATGTAATATGTAAATCTATTTATATAAGAGTGTGGGGAAACAGATCTACGTGCATATTATTTATAGATTTAGTATTAAGGCAGCAGATGGACATTGGGCCTCCACCCAAACACTTACTCAATGCAAGAACACATCGTTCTATTAAATTGGCATTCCAGGATGCACACCTTCCCGA